GTTTCCCTTCCATTTAGTAACAGGCCCACATGAGGCATGTTTTCCTTTTGTTACTGACCTATTTGAAGAAGCCTTTCTTGTTGTTCTTGACATCTTTGGCCAGATTTAATTCCAGTTGGGCCTTGGTCTTCCTGGTCTCATTTCTACATACTCTGACAACATCCCTATATTTGTTTTAAGTGGCCTGTCCCTGCTTCCACGTCCTCTATATCTCCTGCTTGTATTTGAGTATTCACAGGAGTTCCTTGGTTGTCTATGTGTGTCTCTTGCCCCTTTTGTGCAATTTCTTCCTCGTTGGGATGACCCATTCTTGAGCCTTGGAGGAAATGGTCCTTGAATATTGATCAGCTCTCTTGGACTCCTGTACTGGTTTTAAAATGCCAGGGAGGAAAAGTTAAGCCTGCTCAAGCCACCCCTGTATGATAGTGGAAGGGGAAAACAAAGAAAACAAGACTGCAACCAGTTAAAAATGTTAGAGTCACAATTTTACTGAGGTAAAATTACCAATAACAACAGTACAGAGAAAAATGGTCAACCCACAAAACCAGTAAAGGCAAAATGTTGCCTGGCCCCCCACCCCTAGGGCAAAACCAAAAATGGTACCCATTCCCTTGCTGTGCACCATGTGGCCTGGGAAAAAAATGGAAGTAATGCAGTAAACAAATTTCTGCCTTCCCTGGGCAGACAAAAACAATGGGGAACAGGGGCAAAACAAAACCTGGAAGCCTATTTTGTCCAAAAGTATTTATTCTGCCAAGATGCTGGTGTGGGTTCTGGCGTAGTGGCAGCTGGTGAAAGTAGCAGCCAGGGTCCCAGGCAGCTCTGGTGGTGGTGGTGCCAATGTGGCGGCTCTGGCGGTGGTGGTGCAGCTGTGGTGGCTCTCTCGCAGTGCTGAGAGGACACACAGTCCTGACTCCCAGTCCCACACACCCTCTCCTGCCTGTGCAGCAGCAAAAATAGCAAACCTTCCTATGAGAAATAAAAATACAGGGTTTTTTATAAATAGGCTTATCGTGAAGTTGTAAGATATCCAAGTTCCAAGAGCTGAACTTGGGTATCAGAGTCTCTTTCGGTGGGATAAGGGAAATGAGAAAATTCTTAAAAATTAAACCTTTTAGGGCCATTTTGTACACGAGGTTCCTTTTCTCCTTGGGCTAAGAACAAAGAAAGATCCATCACCTTTGACAGGGAATGGCTTGCAGCCAATTGGGATAAAGGGAAAGCCCCTTTTCAGAGAAAAGAAACCTTTTTAGGTAAAAAGGAATACATTAAAACTTATCTGAGAAGGCTGGTGTCCTAGTTAGAACAGCTGGGACCAGTTCATCACTGTAAGGGGTGTAACCCAAACTGTGTATTCTATAGCCTTCCATGCCATTTTCCAGAAACTGTTATCAATAGACCATTTACACCATCTGCCCAGAATAGCCTGACTCCTCAGGCTATAAACTAGGTGTTAAGAGACCTGCGAGATAGGACGATGCTCCTGTCCTCACACCCATTGTGGACCCCCTCAGAGGAAGACTGCAGACCACCACTCTCAAACAGATGGCAACCACCACTCTTGACTGGACTACAACCACCACTTTTCAACCAGACTGCAACCACCACTCTCGACTGGACTGCAATCACCACTCTTGACCAGACTACAACAGCACTCTCACCAACAGGTTTTCCCCTCTCCTTTTACTTTGGACTCAGGGGGCCCAACGAACACCACTCTGTTCATGCCCCAGGGTGCTGGGTTATACATTTGGGTTTTGTGGGTTAAAACCAATTGTTTGTCTGCATAATTGTACTTATTGTATTATTTTATTAAATTGTTATTCTGACTTATAATCTCTCTTTTGAGTTGGGTTCATTTCCCCTGCCGGTTTACCTTTAAACCAGCACAGCTGGGATTTTGGAAAACTATAAAATGTATGAGTTGTACGGCCACAGGGTCTTTCTCCTCAAAAAACTCGGTGAGAGAAGGACCCGGCACACCAAATAAATTCCTTGTTTCTTTGCTCCCTGAATTACACCATCTTTCTAAATTTAAAAGTGGGATTTTTCCCACATTCCATTTTCGGCTTTGGGACTGAAAGAGGCAGTCCACCAAACATGACACAGAGGGTATAGAATACACCATTTGGTCACCCCACATAGTGCTAAACTTCACCTCCTATCCTTTTAACTAGGGCAACCTTTCTTCGCTGCAAGGCCCATTCCTTTGCGATTCTTCCAAGAAGGTCCCTGAAGAGGATAAGTTTGTTCTGCTGAAGTCCACAGTTGCGATCTTCCTTACTGCCCTGCTTGCTCCTCACTCAGTACTAAACTCCACAGTCTCATGGTCGCTGTTTCCAAGGCTGCTCCCAGCCTTTGCATCTCCATGGTCTAGTCCTCCTGGTCTCTTTCCCAAACAGCTTCATGACAACATTCCAGTCATGAGACCTGTCTCATTATGTCTCCCATTATGCAGTAAGAGCAAAGCTCTGAGACTGCACAGGGAGCTCTAGTTCCTCTGGCTTCTTCCCCATACTGCAGGCACTGGTATATACAAGCACCTTACAGAGTGATTGGAGTGTAGAGGTGCAAGAGGATGCCCTATAGTCACATCTTTGGTTTTCTGGAGGTATCCCCGCTTAAGCCTTATTTTTCTGGATGGGTGGTCACTATAACTTCCCCCTTCCCCCACCTTTCCCAGCTTAAAGCTCACCTTACCAGGATAGCCATTCCTTTGGCAAAGACTTAATGCATGTCTAATGGACCTGAATGGCCCCTAATTCTGCCTCCTGCTACTGTGGGTACTGTTACACTCCTACAGACTCTGCAAGGAGGCTTGGGACCTGGGAGACCTAAGTGAGGGGAAGAAGGAGGGGAGAATGAAGCAGGGAGGAAGAAAAAAAGGGAGGCAAGGGAAAATTGGGAAATAACAGGGAAGAAAAAAAATGAGGGTGTGAGAGAGGGAGGGGGAAAGGCCAGGGGAAGATGATGGAATGAAAGAAGAAAGAAAGGTAAAAGAAAGAAGGCAGGTAAAAAGGAATGAAGGCAGGCAGGGAGGCAGGCAAGAAGGAAAGAAGGAGGTATTGAGGAAAGTAGCAAAAGAAGGAAGATAGGAATTAAAAACAAGAAGGTGGAGAAGTGGGCAAGGAGGAATAGAAGAAAGCAGAAAGTCAAAAAGGCAGGAAAAAAGGGGAGTTTAAGTGTGTAAGTATATAAAATAAGGACAGAGGTCAATAGTGAAAGGAGGAGGTAGGAAGTAGAGAGTAATAAAGGATGGACATGAAAGGCTAGACAGAAGGATGGATGAAAGGAAGAACAGAGGGGAGGAAGGACAGATGTACAGTGAGGATGGAGGGAAGTAAGGGGGGAGGAAAAGGAAAGGAGGAATGTAAAAGAAGAAAGGAATGTGAAAGAAGAAAGTAGGGACATAGCACGTCTGTAGATATTGTAGCTATCTTTGCATTTTATATGCAAAGTCATTTGATTGTAAATAAATTTTGTTTACAGGTTGTCATGATCTGGGGAAATGAATGTTCATCAGAAGTAATGGAGGTAGAAGGGATAGCAGGCAGGAAATAAAAGAGAACTTGGCAATCATGCCACATAACGTTATCTGTCAACAAAATCAACCAACCTTACCTGGACGGAGAGGCTCCCTTACTTAGCCTAGATGAGAAATATGCCATTTTTGTGATTAATAAACAGGCAAATGCTTCATCATTCAATTAGTGATGTTCATGGATGAATGAGACTCTCACTGTCCCTACTTACTATGCTGAGAAAGAAACCACAGTCAAGAGAACAGCCTTGTCAAAAATCAGCAGGGAGATAAGCCCCTGTTGATCACAACTCTCGTCTGACACTGTGAAGAAACTTCAGAGGTGGGAGGCCCCCACAGTTGTGCAACTCAGACCAGTTGCCAGTGAAATACTACTCCTAACTTTTACCACTTACCCAGTGAGGTTTGTGAGTGAGTGAGCCCCAAAGGGCTCTCACTTCTGATGCCAAGTGCCTGGCACGACCAGCTCCAGTGTCAGGTAGGTAGTTTGACTGGGACAGTACCCCTGTCAAACCATAACACAGGTGTCCTACAAGCTAAGGGAGGACAGAAACCTCCCGCAGAGCAGAACAGCAAGGTTTGATCTTGATTTTCAGTACAAATATTGTCCATGAGAGCAGAGACACACTCCTTCTGACCTTTTGGGTCAGAAGGCATCCAGGAAACAGTGAATGAAGAACTCAAGGCATGAATCTCCACATAAGCAACTTCGGCATCTAGGACATTCTGCTCTGTCCTCCCAACAACCTGGGAAATTCAGGTTGTTCCTGCAAGGAACAAGTGGGGATGAGGCTGTCTGGGCATCCCCATCATGTCTCTCCCCCTCAGTGCCCCTTAGAACAGGGCCCGAAGAGGTGTCACAGGGAACCCACTTGCCACATATGGGCAGCAGGGTTGGGACTTTCACCATGACAGACTGCAGGATTAGGAGCTAGGGGGTGCGGGAGAGTGGAAAAATTAGTCCTCTCTCCTGGTCTGTCCTGGCAGTTGGTCCCTGCCCAGCATCCCGTAAGAACCCCAGAGCCCTCTTAGATGATACCCAAGCCTTAAGAGCCCTGTGTCTCCAAAACAATCCTACAAACCTCCAAATCACCCCTCAAGCCCGATAGCAGTTCCACATCTGCCTTCTGCTGGGCACCAGATGTTACCACCTTCATCAACACACAGGCAGTCTTGTCTTGCACCTGCTCCCAGAAACACCAACCCCAACACCCTGTGTGGTCTGGTCCACCATCCTCTTTCCGTCCCTCCCCATACCTCTTTATGTTCCCTGAACTGCCCAGGAAGGAAAAGGCACTTTATAGGGCAGACTGTGTGCCCTGGGTGAGGATTCCAAACCCACACCAATTTCACAAATAACTCCTGGGATGAGCACATCAAGGTCACATCCTCCTCACTTGAGGATATCCTACTCTCCCTCCCCACTCATGTTCCCCACAGACAACAAGGAGGCTTGTGCTAGAAGGAAACTGTTTCTTTTTTTAAACAGAACTTTTTCCAACCCTTGTTCCTCAGGGTTTTCTTTTTTTTTTTTGCAAAGATAAAGTATTATCTGAACAATCTCTGCATATATATATATATAACATATGTTTATACACTTAAACAGTCCTGCAAACTTGTGTCACTTGTAGCCCTTCCTGCTTCACAGCAGAGACAAAAACTCCAACAGCAAAAATGCTGCCCCTCTCAACTAGAGGAACTGAACCACATCCATCTGTGGCTCTGGAGGGAATCCCACCAGCTCCAGATGCGAGGCTTTGACTTGAGTGTAAATGCATCACTCTACAGCATTTCTAGACGCTGGCCATTTCTAAACAGTGCCATGCTAGGATACATGCCACACTCACCTGTGCTCAGACCTTGGGAAGAGCACATCCAAGGACAATGAGCAGCCCTTTAACAGGTGGCAATAGTCCTAACTTTGCAGGTGGACTGTGACTTTAATTCAAATACCTATAGGCAGAACTGGAGACAAGGAAAAAAGACAAGGAGATATTTTTCTGAGAGACGTGGCCACAGGAACACAGACTAGCTGCCCAGAGCAATGTTTCTGCATATTAAAGAAGAGTCACTGAGCAATTAGCCTCCCAGAGGAAATGCTTTGTTCCACTTGAGAGCTCCTCCCTGCCTTTGAGGAAAAACACTAACACAAACTGGTTGAGACAGAGTAGAGGCAGAGGTCCAGGCTGGCAGGCTGGACAACAGACCACTTCTATGGTGGTCTTCTAGCTATGATAGCTATCATCATCATCAAAGTAGGAATCACAATCTGATTCATTATCAATCATAAAGTTGTCTTCATCGAGGTCATCATCATCATCATAGTCTTCCTGCCACTGTGGATCATACTCCTCATCTTCAACCTCTTTGCCACCCTCATCTGTGTTGGGGAAGTCACACAAGACGGTACGTTTTTGCCTGTTGAGAAGGAGAGCATCAGAGCAGAGCCCCAGCTGTGAGAAGCAACCACAACCCAACCCCACAGCGCCCTATAGAGGTTTTGCTGGTTTCCTTACACCACTGTTACTTAAATTGTTACCTCAAACCACAAAAGAAGATGCAAGTAATTAGTATCTGTCATTCACTCTTTTGTATGTCAGTGAGCACAGGAGAAAACTCTGCTCATCTGCTCTTTGTCTGCACTTATCCACTTTTTATCCAGCTAAGAAAACTCACCCTGTATAGGCAAGGGCTGAAGTAGGCACATTTGCAAGTTTCAACTTTCTCTGACCAGGATTTCCTGAAGACTGGAGCCCAACATGGAAATCCTGCTAGCATGAAAGAACAATCAGAAGAGAGAAATAGAGACAATATGCAATTTGGGGTGTATTTTGTGCTGCAAACCCCTTCCCTACACACACAACTCTTAGAGTCTAACCCCTCAGCTGACCAAGCCCCTTGTCTTGCCCACAATCAAATTAGACCAGAGCAAGACAAGCCACTATCAGGCATGTGAACTTCACCTGTGTGGAGTGCCAGAGAATTGCAAAGAGACGCTCCTTGATCTGGCGTACCAACTCCAAACCAGCACTGAAATGCTCTGCTTTCAGAAGCTGAAGAGAGGAGGCCAGGTCCTGGTACTGCAGCAGGGTTTCCTCTGCAATTAAAGACCAACAAAGTCATGTTGCATCACACACTCTTAAGCAGAGACCAAGTCTTTGGCTCTGACTATGAAGCCAGTCAGAGCTACTTAGATCTCCTGTGCATATATGGCACATTGCAGAACGGAACATGTTGCTCTTTACTGCATTGATCTCCATTAGCAGCCAAATTGTGCCAGTGGACTTCTCAGAAATTACATCAAGAAGGCAAAAATGGGCTGGGAGAAGTGAGAGGCCAGCTAGGTGCTGGTGTGTACGCTATTGTCCCACTACAGAGCTGCTGCTCTTTGAACTATACACTTTGGAACACTAGTCGCTACTTTAAAGAGGCTGCAGGACTTACCCAGAAGGATCTGCAGAGCATTAGTGAGCAGCTCTAGGCTCTCAGCCTGCTGTTCCACAATATCCATGCTCTCAGTGTCCTGGTTATAGTAGCTGTATACACAGGAGTAAGCCAGCACCTGGAACAGTACAGATCATGCTGTTAAGCACCCTCCTCCAGCTTCAGAGTGGGCAAGAAGTGAGCAGCATCAAACCCTTCCAGACCTCACTGCTGTCAGCGGCTGAAAGAAGCCTGGTGGCACTTCTGGTGTGTGGCCATAGCCCAGTGACCCATTATGCCAAGTGACAGCAGTGCCAGGCTACCTAGAGCTACTCACAGGATTGGAAATGAATGTGCAATTATTTTATATTGAAGTCTGAAAGAATTGATTGTTCCCACCTGCAAACCATCATGAGAACACAGACTGTAAATGCATAACAAGTGTCACTGAACAGCAGGCAAAGAGTCAAAACCACCAGCACACACAACCTAGGCATTGCTGGGCAGCCCAGGCTGAACTCAAGTAACAATGAACTGAGGGAATGGAGCACAAAGGGAAGCAGGCATGGTACTATAGAGCACCAAGAGCCCACAATAAAGGGGTTTCAACAAGTGTCAAACTCTTATTATGAAACCTCAGCAGGACTGTTATCCAGCCTTACCTTCCGTGCCTGTTCTAGCACTTTGCAGGCATCAAGAACAAAGGTCAAGTTCCTAATTTTTGGCATCTCTCTGATGGAAGAAATACTGTTCCTCAGACTCGTGGCAAATTCCTGCAATAACCAAAGGAAGGGAAAAAAAAAGCCAATGTCAGTGTCAAGCTCTACAAGATTAAAAAACCAGCACCTTCTACACAGGTAATTGCTAAGCATCCTGAAGTGCCATCCCAGAAGATGCAGACAGCAGCAGAGCATTTAATGCATCCAACTATGACATCTCTGTCACTGTGCCATCACTTCGACCTTTTACACTACCTCAGCTCTAGGCAGAATTCTGCCTTCAATCACCATTGCTTCCAACTACTGCATCACTTTGAGTCTGTGAACGCCACAAGTCAGGTGCTCAGTTTCCACAACAGACTTCGTAGAAGAAAGCAGGCCAAGGACTACCCCTTATGTCAGAGCAAGGGTGAAATGGTCAGGCATCCCAACGTGGACCTGAAGCCTACTTCTCAGCAGAGAAGACACTGAGACATAACAGAAGCTATCCCGATCCCTAGGGCTAAGGCAACAACAGCATCTGCAAAGGAAGGAGGCCTTACCCTTGCGTGATGATGAAAGGTACATCTCTCATTGTAATCCTGAAAACGCTTCTCCTGCCAAGCTGCTTTACTCACCTGAAAGGAAAGGTAAAAGTAACCTGTAGCAATTTCTCTGAAGTACTAGGGCTGCCTGGAAATGGCTACCACACACAGAAACTTTGACAATGCTGTTAGTATTACTGGCAAGCACAAAAGTCCAGAATAAAGGACCCAAGTGGAGATCCTCACCCTCTCTCTGAGAGGCTGGGTGCTTCTGAACACAGGCATGAACCACGGGGATACAGCAAACCACTCACCATAGCAGAGCAGTTGTAATAATCCTTATGATTCGGTCTCCAGGGCTTGAGGCAACGCCAACAGAAGCCATGACTACACTTTGCACATGTCATACTAAATGGTAGGAAAAGAACAATAGAAATCACTCAGACCTAAGAGCCACTTGCAGACAGTTCCTTCCAGTGCTCCTACATCACAGCACTGGAGTGTGCCACGCAGTCAGTCCCATTCACCCAGTATATTTTTTTAAAGCCTTTCCTAGAATCAGATGATGCTTAAAACCAGTCAGTGTCTCCAAAAATGAGATAGGTAAACTGACAGCATGATCTCACAGTAGCTTATCAAGTACTCAAAGGGTGACTAAGCATTCCACAGTTTGAAGCAAGATCCACATGAGCACCTCACCCTTCCCTCATGCATGTAGCACTCCACACAGTGCAGAAAGGCACTGCACAGCCCTAAGGCCACACATCACATGTGGGGACAAATCACAGCTGGGCATTAAGGGCTGTGCCAGTGCAAGAGAGAAACAAATCGCAACTCCTAAGCCCTAGCTTCAAAGCTGGAGGTAATTTCCCTATCATGTAAAAAGCTGCCAGAGATCCAAGCTGATTCAAAACAAACAGTCAAGAGAAAATTGCTTTAAGTTACAGGAATAGGTGAGCATGAAAGAAAAAATGGTGCTGAGCTATCCACTCCCCTAACCTTTACTTCTGTATGGCTATAGTGGATTCTGAGAGCAGACAAGAGCACAAGGTATTGCAAAATCAGTTCTATCACGGAGCCATCAACAGATTTAACTCTGAATGTTGGGAAACATTTTGCTTTTCTAGGAATTAAAAGCAATCACTCATTCTCCTAAAACTGTAAACCAGACCTGCTATAACAATTGAGTAATTGTCAAAAAAAAAAAAAAAGCAAAAAAAAAAGCAAAGCACGGTGGACCTAACTGTTTTTGCCCTCTCCTGTTTCCAGTAGCAAGCAAAAATGTATACTCACTGCAGGCAACCCTCATTTTTCTCTATCTGAGCCTGGCAGTTTGGGCAGTGCTTCGAAATGAGCTTAGCCAGATGTTTGCTCTGGGCTTCACTTGTCATTCCTTCATAGTATCCATCATCATCTACCCACTGAGACATGTGGCTGCAGCTGGCAGGATAATGGGCCTGAAAGGGAGACAGTCAACCACACAAAAGTAGAATGGTGCATGCCAAACCTAAGACAGTATTGCTCATGATTCAGCTCAGCCTCACCTCTGGGAAGCTGCAGTTGAAGCAGGATATCCAGGAGCACTTGGAACAGGCTGCTCCATAACCAAGTCCATCCTTAAGGAGGATCTGATCACAGCCCTGAGGGTTGGTGCACCATGTCAGGTTGGAGCAACACTCAACATAGCGTCTGAGGAGGGCTTTTTCATACTGTAATAAGAAGCCAGGAAGGAGATTTAAGGCAGAGAAGCTGCATAGTTAGGCCTTACAAGCAGGGTCTGAAGCCTCTGGGCTATACATCTCACTAAACAACTGCTCACAACAAAACAGCACTCAATTAGTTTATTCTTTCATTCCCTAAATTTCCCATCCCCACATGTCATATCTGGAGGCTGTTTCATTTCACAGAATTGCTGAGGTTGGAAGGCATTTCTGGAAATAAAAACTAGTCCAACCCCTCCAGCTCAAAGTAGGATTGCTCAAGACCATGTTCAGCTGAGTTTTGAATATACCCAAGGACAGAGACTACAAACGTCTCTGCCCAACCTGGTCTAACATTTCATTACCCTTACTATTAAAAAAAATCTCAACAACCCAAAACCAGTATTCTTACATTTAAATGGAATTCCTTGTATATAATTTAGTGCCCACTGCCTCTTATCCTTTCACTGGACATCATGAAGAAGAATCTGGCTCCTTAATCTCATTTGTGAATTTACACATGTTGATAAGATCCACTCCTGAGCCTCCTCTTCACCAGTCTAAACCAACCCACCTCTCCCAGCTACTTCAAGAGGTGCTCCAAAACCTAATTCATCTTTGTGCCCTTTTGCTGGATTCTTCCCAGTATGTCTGTCTTGTCCTGGTGAGCCCAGAAAGGGCCATAGTACTCCAGATGTTGTCTCATCAGCACTGGGTACAGGATCACCTTCCTCAACCTGCTGTCACTGCTCTTCCAACATCAACCTAAAACACTAATGGACCTTCTTAGCCATGAGGGCACAATGCTGGCTTATATTTAATTTGGTGTCCACTGTGATCCTTTTTTTTATTCCTGCAGAGATGTTTTCCAGATGGTTGACCCCCAGCATATCCTGTTGCATTGGGTTATACTACACCAGGAGCAGGACTTGGCATTTCCTTTTGTTGAACTTGGAGCAGTATGTTTTAACTTCAGCATTAGATCTTCACACAATAATCTAGTTATTTTGAAAACAGGATTGGACTAGAGATTTCCACAGATTATTGCAATCTAAATTATTCTATGACTGTCTCCGCACGAGACATTAACACTCCAGCCATACCACTTACTGAGCAAAGGAAAACATAACATTTCAGTGAGAGCATCAAAGTAATTTGTTAAAATTAGCTGCAATTTATGTTCAACAATTATTTCTTTTTATAAAAAAACCACAGCAACAGGCTATTAAACCTGCTCTCAGACAGGTGTGACTAAGGGATTTGCAAAGGCAGTGAGGACTAACTATCCAGATATATGCACTAATTCTTTGAGCACTTCTTACAAAAAACCGATACATCTAAACCAATGCTTTTCTGTAGCCTTGCCAATTTTGGTTGTCAGCTTGCAAGCTGAAAGAGAAACTGTAAGAGAGGCAAGCCTTCATGACTACTGTTCATTTCTCCTTATGACTGTTCATACAGGATCATGACAGTAAGAAGTTGGAAGAAGAGAATATTTTTGGAGAAGCAAAGGAAGTGGAAACCTGTCAAACAACAGAACAGTGGAAAACAGACAAGACTGTTCTGTCCAGCAGTTAACAGAAATAGTCTGTCATGTGACAGCTACAGCTCTGCCATTAGGTGGGGAAGGCATTCAGCTCTAATAACTAAAAACTGAAAGAATAGAGAGAAAAAGTAGCTTCTGCCTCAGAACAAGCTGCTGCTGCTGTCCCCTGCTGACCAAGGACTAAGGTAACCAGGAAGCCTGGTTTAGAAATGTCTGTAGACCCACACACACTTAGTGAAGATTAAGTCTAATGTGGTAATTTCTGCCATCTTCACAAAAACCTGAGGTGCTCAAAGCCAGAGACTGATGGAAGAGAAACAACATAGAGGTCACTGATGCAGCAATAGAATGAAATTGCTCACGTTTTCCTTTGTCCTAGATTTTACAATTGCTTCCAGCACACTAGTAGAGGATACTTGTCATGAGCTGCTACCACAGCTTTCACCCGGGCCTGAACTAATGATGCACCTGAAACGTTATTTGCAGGAGACATATTTAGAGGAAATACCACTGTGCTCTTTTGTTGACATTATGCTTTCTTGAATAGCTGGTATTGGTCATAATCAAAGATAACAGACACCACTGGGCAGAAATCTCGTTGGCCTCAATTATCACAGTGCCAGAGCTAGTAACAGGAAGGGGAAAAGCAGCAGCAAGATTATTTGATAGTGCTGACCAAAATGAAACAGAGCTTAGGCACAAAGCAACCACCTCTCCTACTTCACCTTCGCTATGATCTCCTCAGAGGATATGATGGAGTAAATGAAGGCTGTGGTTGGCTGTGCACAGCACTCAGATATGGGACAGGTGCAGTTGACAACCATGTTCTGTTCAATGCGAGTCGTGAGATATTCACTCCAACAGGGCTGTGAAGGCAGAAAAGAGGAGATGAGACCTAAACAGCGTTGTGTGACCCTGGAAGCCTTCCCCACCCAGCAGAGGGTGCACAAAACCCCTGGGTAAGTAACAAACCCATGGGTAAGTACTCAAAAGCACAAAAGTGGGAACGGACAAATCAGGAGCTGAAGGATCACAACAAAAAAGGGAGCTGAGAAAAGAGAATGTATCAGCTCTGAAAATCTCTGATAACATCTTCAGACAAAGAACAGCTGCTCCAAGTAGGCAGCAGCAATTCCCCAGCAAGTCACAGGAATCAAAGACCCCAGGACCTTCACCTTGCAGCAGTAGTGCATGCAGCAGAGGGTTGGTGGCTTCTCAGTGGGACACAGCTGGTTCACACAGACTGGGCAGTGGGTTCCAGGGCTCGGAGGAGGCTGGACATCCTGCACTTGCAGCCCCGAGGAGATGAGCAGAGCATCACGGTTCTCCACATAGCACTGGATCAGGAAATCCACGTTCCACCTACAGTGCATGAGGAGGTGCCGAGCAACGTCATCCGATATGCTCAGAGTGTCCTGGACCTGTTGTACTGTCTGGTTCATGAGCAGCTTTGCCTCCTCTGGACTAAGCGTGTGCCCCATTGGCACCTGCAGCATTGCCATAAGATATTCTTCCACCTTGTCTATGCCAGGATTCAACCTGACATGGAAAAATGTGTCATGTTCATACACGGTGGAGATGCACACCCCTCCACACCTGGTGACATGCCTCCCTACCAATGCAGGCTGTCTATGCTGTCCTCATCTGGAGATGCCTGTGGTGGCCTGCACTGGAAAGTCATCTGTGCCTGGCCCCCAAGAGGTGTCGTAGGTTCAGCAGAGATGTATTCCAAGACATGAGGCCTCCCCTCCTGGCGCCGGAGATAGCCCTGGTTCAACAGGTGCAGGACACAGGACAGCACGTCCACGCTGTGGCAGCAGAAGCTCAGGAACTGCACACCTGGCCCCAACCTGCCCTTCTGACAGGCATCAATCACCTATGGCAGCAAGGGAGCCCCACACTGCAGTGTGCCACAGCACCCATGCAGCCCCTCTCTGCCCCCCCAGGACCTCCATACCCTGAACACCAGGTTGTCGACGTGGAGCTGCTTCTCCACCTTGAGGATGCGGGTGATGAGGCAGCAGAGGACATTCCTCTTCCTTTCCAGGGCGCTCACCTCAGCCCTCTCTGTCCGCAGGTACCTCTGCTGGGGCAGCAGCCTCAGGTGGCGGCCAGACGCCTGAGCCAGGGCTGCCTGGTTCAGCTGCAGTGCACCTGGAGCCAGCACCCAACCCAGGGTCAGCCAAGCCTCCAGTAGGGCCTTGAAGGAGCCCCAGGACACACATGTGGCTGCTGGACCCAACCTGGGCCTCCCCCTGCTGCCCCCACAGTTGGCCGCCACAGCCCTGTCCCCCACACGTGGCCCCAAGCAACAGCCATGCACACAACCCCATCCCTGTCCCCAACCCCACACACAGACCTGAGACACAACCATCCACACTGACCCGCACCCCAAGCATGGCCCCAAGCCCCAGCCCCACACACCACTCCCAACCCTACACCTGGCCTAATGGCCCCAACCTGGCACACAGACTCGCACCCCCAGAACCACCAGACAGACCCACCCAAGCCCACTCACTTTCCGTACGAGTCTGTGCACCCCAAACCCCAGCACCTACTCAGGGCTCAGAGCAGCACCTCCCCAGGGGTGCCCCAGCCCCACATTCACCTCCCAGTGTGCAGCTCTGCACCAGGACGCCCTGGCCGTGGGTCAGCGGTGTCAGCGCGTGGTGCACCAGGTCAGCAGGGAGCCCTGTAGCCTGCAGCAGGGCCTCCACAGCCACCTCCTGCAGCAGGGCATGGGAGGTGAATGGCTGGCCAAGACCTACTGGCTGCAGGCCGAGCTAAACAAGGGTGTCCTGTGCCCCAACCGCTGCTGGAGACCCCACTGGAAGCGAAGGGAGGACACAGCCCTGCCAGGCTCTGGCAGCCACTGCCTCCCTCCCCCCACTGTGGCCCCAGCTCCTACCTCAGCACTGTTGAAGCACAGCAGGATGTACATCTGTAGCGTGGACACGTGGAGGACACAGTCTCCAAACTGCAGCTCAGCGTGGCCCAGCCACGTCCACTGCAATCGCTGGGGCTTCGTGCACTCCCAGCCCAGCCGGCTCTGGCCTGCCAGGGACAGTGTCAGCACAAGGGCCAGGGACCAGCCCTGACCAGCACTCCCAGCCCACGCCAGCACGCCGCCACTTCTGGCTGAGCTGCTGGGGAGGGTCTGGACCCTGGCAAGACCTGCACGCACACCCACTGCCACAGCACTCACTCTGCTGGCAGAAGTCAGCAAACTCATCCAGGGGGGAGCACAGCGCTGCCGAAAAAAACCTCCCAGGGTTATCCATGTAACAGAGTGGGGAAACAGGCCAGCAGCGTGGGGACAGGGCCAGCACCTTCACCTCTGGCACATCTGCCACGGAGGCTGTCTCCAGCACCTGAGCATGGGGACATGAGGGTGGCTCAGCTCAGGCTCCAGGATCCCCATGAGGAATGCCAGTGGTCTCCAACCTCCCCACCCCACCCTCTCACCTCATCCAGGCCCGTGTCCAGCTCCAGCAGCCGCTTATCCTGCTCCTGCAGCTGGAAGAGGCAGAACTGCCGCTGGAGCTCCTCTGACTCAGCCAAGTTGCTCAGCATATCTTGGGGAAAGCGGCTGGGGAAGCACAGCCCAATCTGCTCCACGATGCCTCCTTCCAGCCAAGACAGCCCTTGTGTCAGGAGCCGGTCCCCCAGGTAGTGCCTGCCACAGCCACCAGCATTAGGTCAGGGCTGGGCCCCAGCCCTGTGGTCATCAGCCACCCGCCAGGAGACAGACACAGCCCCGGCCTCACCCCATGCCACACAGGCCTGGCAGCACGCACATTCTGGGAATGTGTGTGCAGGGAATGTGCCTCTGCAGACTGGCAGCACCCACGGGTCCTCCACACACCAGAGCCGGGAAAAGCAAAGCGGGAGCACCACTGCCACACTTGGGCCAGGCTCCCCCACCACGCCACGCCACCCTGCACCAGGCCCCTGGTTCCACGGAGACACAGCACCCTCACCTGTAGAAGTGCTCGAAGCTGTGGGCGAGCTCCAGGCCACTGAAGACAACAAAGGGCTCCAAGAACTGCTGCAGCCGCTCCAGCGGCCCTGTGCTGCCCTGTGCTGCCCTGCGGAGCTCCTGGATCTGCACATCGAGGTAGCGGGCAAACTGCTCACTCACCTGTGAGGAACAGGGCTGGCTGTGGAGGGGACTCACAGGGTGGCCACAGTGCAGGCCTGGGGGAATATCCCCTGGGGGAGCAGCTGGGAAGCTCTGGCACTCTCCAGGCAGGGGCCGAGGGTGCCCAGGCACCAGCCCAAGGCATGAGTGTGCCGGGACCAGGCCCACACCATGATGAGCACCACATACCCGCAGCTGGGGACGGGGCTGCCGCAGGACAGGGCTCTGTGGCTGGGTGGGGACGAGCACACCACCCACCCAGAGCTCACCCAAAGGCCATGGGCCAGGGCAGCTCCCCAGCCTGCACCCGCCTGGGGCCATTGGTGCCGGTGCTGCACTCCCTCGACTCACATGCAGGGCAGTCAGGAAGGAGAGCTGCAGCAAAGCTCCTGCAAAGCCCTGGCCCAGGGCCAGCATGAAGGCAGCCTGCTGCCCAAAGAGCTCCTCTGTGGCACTGCGCAGGCGCTGGTACAGCCCGCAGTATTGCTCCGCAAGGTCTGGCACCTGCCCTGCTGCCTCCAGGAACTGCTGCACCTGTGGGACACAGAGCAAGAGGGGTGAGCCCCACAGCAGGATGTGCCCATGGGAATGTCCAGAGCAGCCCCAGCCTTGCTCTGCCAACACTGACTCCTTGGGTCCCAGCCAGGGACCAACTTGGGGCCCTGTTGCTGCTGCAGGCTGCCAAAAGCTTGTGGAGAGGGCTGGGCAGGGTCTGTGAGGGAATGACAGAGGCACAGCAGCAGCCCAGCAGGAAATCAGGGGTCTGACACTGTTCCTTTCTCTTGGCCTGGCAGCATCAGCCTGGGTGCAGGGCCTGGCTGACACCTGAGCCATGCCAGGGTGGCAAGTGCAGCGGAGTTGTTCCCGCATTGCTCTGGGCTCTGTGGAGGCCTGGTACAGCCCTGTGCCCTCCCCATGCTCCCAGGGCACTGCCAGGCCTCACTCTCTGCTCCACCCACCCAGTGTGGGTCCCACATGCCCCTCCCGGCTGCCCCTCCAAGCTCTACCTGCTGCTGCACCACGCCACGCCAGCACTGAGAGATTCCCCACAGGCCACTTGACTTCTCCACCACTGCCTTCACAGCCCTGGCCGGCACCTCCTTGTTCTTCCCCGCCTTCCCACCTGCCAAGGGTCGACACTGGGGTTAGTGGGGTTCTGTGGACAGGCCCCACACACTGATTGACCACAGCAGGTCAGAGGGGACGCTGGGCAGGCATGGCCACTGCCGGGCCATGACCACAAGCCTTTCCTGGCTCAGGAGCCTCCTGTGCCACAGAGCCCTCCCAAGACAAACCCCATGGCCACAGCCTGACATCCCAGACCACCATCAGCCCAGCCCCACGGGAGGGCAGTGCCTCGCTCACCAGCTGCTCTTGTCTCCTCTGGCTCTGGGCCACCAGGGTCCACGTGCACCAGGAGCTGGGTCAGGCACCGCACACAGGATCCAAAGGCAGCCCTGTGTCCCCTGGCATGGCGGGGCGGCTCCACACGCTCCAGGTACTCCCTCAGCAGCCAGGCCAGGGGACTGACGCCATCAGGGTCTGCAAGGCCAACCAGACTCAGAGCCAGCTGCCTCTGCCTGGGGCACAGCACGGATGGGCCCCAGAGAGCGCAGGGTACCTGGGCTAGTGATGCTCTGCACCAAGGGGTTCACCAGGGCCTCCCAGCACGTCCTGCCCAATGCCCGGGCTGCCTCGTCATCAGGAAGGAAGCGGTCGGCGAAGCCCTGCTCGTGTTGCAGCGCCCGGTTCAGTCTGCAACAGCAACCAGGCAGCACACGGTGCCAATGGCTGGGAGAACTCCCGTGGGAAAGCAGAGTGCCGTGGTTGCTCCTTGCTCTGCCCCTTGCCAGGCATGACGGCTCATGGCCCCACTCGCCCCCAGCAGCCAGGGCCCCTTGCTGCCCCTGGAACCTGCTCGCAATGGCCCTTGGGCCAAGCAGAGGGGCTCTGCAGTGCCTTTGGCCATGAGATCCTGCTGCGCTTGGCCAACCTCTGCCATGTCAGCATGTGCCAGCTCCTGTGGGGAACCAGCACCCCTCTCTGGTGGGTTAACCAAGTCCACACACCCAGCTTAAACCTGGGGGACCTCAGGTGGCCCTGGCCCTCTGGGAGCCCTGGTGGCCAGGAAGGAGTGAGGGCCCCACCCTGTCCAGGCAGGACAGCCAGCTGCTCCCTTCCTAGCCCTGCAGTCCCCTCACGAGCTGCCAGCAACACCCCCTGGGGCCTTGAGACACCTGTGATAGCACAGCCAGGAGACAACTCACCTGCTAAAGAGTTGCAGCAGTTGCCCCCGGTCCCGGCAGATCTCCTGGCCCCAGGCATGAGCCTGAGCAGTGCAGGAGAGAAATGTCCGCCGGCACAGCTGCTCCTTGAAGACGGGCCAGAAAGTGGGCTTGGGACCCAGCACCTCGATGCCACGCACACGTGTGTCAATGCCACCCTACAGGAGAGTATGACCCTCAGTTCCTCAGGCCCAGCCCTGACACCCCACACTGCCAGCTCACTGGCCTGGCCCCTGCTCCCCTACCTGCTGGCACCGCTTCACCCGGATCTGGATGATGGGCCAGAAGCGGGTCATGTTCTCCAGCAAGATCACTCTGCTGTCCGAAGGCAGGATGGTAACCTGCAGGCAGTGAGCCCTCAGCATGCCAGGCAGCCACACCCTCCCACGGCCAACCCCCCATTTTAGTCACAGCCTCTGTACTCGCCATGCATCTCCTCTGTATCCCAGCGGCCCCAGCACAGCCTCAGGGCTTCCCCCACCAGGGCCCCACTCCTGGCTCACAGCCACAGCACACCAGCCTGCTGCAGACTGGCTGCAAGACTGCCTGTGCCCACCTTCCCAGCACCCACTGGAGCCTACAGGCCAGAGGAGGCTCCTACACATCCCCACCTCCCCGTGAGCGCCCTGCAGGGCCTCACACCAGGGCCAGACCTCCACAAGGCACAGCAAAAACCAGCCTCCCGCTCCCATGGGGACTCACTGTGTTGAGCTCCGTTCTGATGGTGGCAGGGCTGTCTCCACCCAGCACTACGACGCGGGATGGCATATAGCTGGAGTCCTCACTGGCCACCAGCATGCTCATCTCCCTGCAGCACAGCAAACACAGGGCTGCCCAGCAGTTCCCACCCCCCTGCCCTGACCCCCGACAGTCCCACGTACTGCTGTCCATGTCCTGTTACCCCCAGGACAGGGGCCACCGTGGCAGGGCTTGCACAGATCCCCAGAGCCCTCTCCTCCATACACAGCCCTCTCAGCCTTCCTGGCCCAGCCCCACCTGATCACCACACCACACTGCATGTGCACAGTGATGAAGTGGGAGCCAGTGCTGCCATTTGACTCCCAGTATGTCTTGGGGTTCCTGTCCGTGAGCTTGCTGGCCTGGTGCGGGTTGGAGGAGACCTGCACCTTCTCCCAACACTTGTCTTCCTTCACCTCCAGGCTGGAGCCTGTGGGGAGAGCACACAGAGCCTTCAGCCACTAAGCCAGCACAGGGGTCAGTTCCCACTCCCAGCACTCACCTCGGCACAGGTTTTGCAGGAAGACATCAAAGAAGGGTATGGTGATGGGCTGGTGACTCCGGCGGTGCTCCTCAATCTGCCCCAGGACCAGCTACAGGATGGGGCGAGGCTCTTACCGGAGCGCCTGGGTCCTCTCCCCTCCCCCACCGCAGAGCTGCGGCCGGCAGAGAGCAGAAGGCTGTCCCTCAGTGCCCTAAGACTCAGAGTCCCAGCACAGCTGGGCCTCCCCAGGCCCACCTGGATGCAGCCAGCCAAGATTCTGGTCGTCAGCTTCTTGTAGAGGCTGGCGTACTTCTCACAGTCTGTCACCAGGTTGAGCAGGGCTGGCGCCAGCGACGGAGCCACACTGTGCTTTTCCAGGGCTTTGGACAGAGCCTCGTGGGTGCCCACGTGGCACATCACCACCACACAGTCCTTGCTGGCAGTGGCCAGGCGGTGCAGGAAGCCAACGACCTCCTGCAGCACCTGCTGAGCCACAGCCCTGAGCAGCAGGGGTGGTGCCAGGAACTCCCCTGGCCCCCCCAGCTGGGGGTGCTGCAGCTCCATCCCTCCCACCCCGACTGCACCAGTGCCCACCGGAATCTGGCCAGGCACGTGGCCATCAGGACATGGACACGGCCAGGACAGCTGCTCCCCACCTCTCCCACCACGTTAGACACAACAAGGCCAGGCTGGGACCTGCTTCACCAACGCTGGGCCCAGCCAATGCACGGCACAGCCAGCACAGCTGCCCTTGCCTGCCCGGAGTCCCAGGGCCCCCTCACCTCCCAGCTGCTGCTGTGGGTGCTCAGGGAGGACACACAGGGCTCCACACACTCGTGCCAGGGCAGCACATCCTCCTGATAACTGTCCAGGAACTTGTTCAGGATCCTGAGCGACAGAGGGTGCATGGACAGCAGTGCCAGAGGCAGCTCTGCTTCCCTGCCCCACTTGGAAGGCACCTTTCAGGGACTGGTAACCAAGGCTCCCCTTGTACCTTGGACACCCCATCAGCAGCCAGGCATGTCCTGTGCTGCCCCTGCATGTCCCCACCAGCACCCAGACACATCCTGCTCTGTCCCCACATGGCCCTCTACCCAGGACAACCCAATCAGCACCTGCTTATGTGTTGGGGTGCTCCTGCCCCTGCCCCTGGTGAAGAACACCCCCACCAGGACACACAAACATGTGCCGTGTCTCCCCAACATCACCATCAGCACTCACACGCCTGCTGAGGGGGCCCCAGACCCCCATCAAATCCCCCTGCACCCACCTGAGGATGCTCAGGCTCACAGCTTTCTCCACTCCCAGCAGCTCCAAGCTGCGCAGCAGCAGCCTGAAGCAGCTGTGGTCCTGCAGCAGCTGGGCCACCTGCCCAGAGGGGACAGGGCCTTCACCGCAGAGCTGCCGTTCCAGGGCCACCACCACCTCCTTGGACAAAGCGCCATCCTCCAGGCTGCCCAGAAGCATCTGCACACCCTTCAGGTCCAGTGGCGCTTCTCTGCCTGCTATGACCAAGGACATGTGGGCCCAGCTCAGGCACCAGCTTGAGAGGCAGCAGCCTCTCGGGGTGCTCTGCTCTGGCAGGCGAGGCAGCCCTGCCTGTGGCACCCATGGAGCCGTGGCATGGGGAGGATGGGCAGCGTGGTACCTGCTGCCTCCAGGCCCAGGGGCAGCCCGTGCTCTGCGAGGCGGTTGATGGCGCGGAGGGCCAGCACCGCATGAGGGCAGCCGCTGCTCTGCCCATCCCTCCAGCAGCTCTGCAGCACCGCCGGGAGGTCGCAACTCGCCAGCTGCTCCGCAAGGCCCCGGTGCCCATCCATCAGCATGTTCACCACCAGCAAGCCATTCTGCACTCCTGAGGAGCCCCTGCAGGGACGAAGCCATGTGGGCGCTCTCCTCCCCCAGGCACAGAGCCTCCCCTGAACCCACAAGCCACCTGCCTGCTGTGCCCATTCCTCCCCACAGCGGAGGGTCCCCCCAGCCCCAGCTGCTGTCTGCACTCTGCCCCTACCCTGGGACCCTCTGCATGGTGCTCAGGGCAGCAGGGATAGTACTCAGCAGACTGGCAGAGCCCTCGCTGGAGGCAGAGCCGATGCTGGCAAAGATCTCCCGCATCATCTGCACGTCAGCATGGTTCCAGGACAAGGACTTCCCACCTCCTGGCTCACCATCTGCAGCTCCCACCAGCACCTTCAGGGCCTGCGAAGTCAGCAGCAGTCCAGAGGGCAGCGGGCATCTCCACCACACCTGGGTGAGCCTGCACACTGCCTGCCCACACACAGCATCCCCTCTGCCACTCACCGCCAGGCCAGCCTGCTGCACCAGGGCGGAGGAGCTGTGCTGCTGCATGCAGGCCAGCACGGCCCGCACGCCACCCTCCGTGGCAAACGGCACACGCCAGTCGTGCTGCGCCATCAGCGTGGCCAGCAGCCGCAGCGTCACCGCCACCAGCGCCTTCTCTGCCACCTCAGTGCTCAGCAGCTCCACTGCCACTTGCACCAGCTTCTCCCTGCTCGGGAAAGGATACCTCAGGAGGAGCCTCCTGGCACTGCCACTGGCACAACACCAGCACCTTGGGCCCTGCCAGCCACCTCCTCTCTGCCCACACGGCTCTGCCGCAGCTGGGTCAGCCCAAGGAATGAGCCTGCCTGAGACAAAGGGACACAAAATCCACTTTCCTCTTGCCAAGCATACAGGGACATACCAGTCTGCACACTCCCACTGCCACCTCCTGTACTCCCAGCTCCAGTACTGTCACCCACCGTGCCGACACAGCCCTCCCCGGGCAGCAGGAGGGGTGTGCAGCACCCCACGGCTCACCCTGAGCTCCCGGTCCCCAGCCTGCCCTGGGCTGTGCCAACTTGCTGCTCGGACTTGGGCTCCTCCTCCAGGATCTTCAAGATTTGCTTGAGCCCAGCTAAGCGCAGCCCCACCGCTGAGCTGCTGCTCTGGATCACGTCCACCACGGCTGCAATCTCGGCCAGCGAGCCGCTCTCGCTCACCCCTTTGGAGCTGCCCAACACTGGCCAGAGGGAGGGAGGCATCAGGGCAGCAGTAACACCCCCAGCAGTTCCCAGCATGCCATGCACTCACAAAAACAGCACCCACAGGCACCCCACCAGCTGCCTGGCCCCCCATGCCCTGCCCAGAACCTTCCTCTCTTGAGGCAACGGTGCCACTTCCAGCACTGCGTGTGCGCCCCAGCACGTAGCAGGACATTACCTTTGATCTGCTCCTCCATCACCTCTGGGAAGCACAGCCCTTCACTCCCAAGGAGCTCGCTGAACAGCTGGGAATCGGACTTCACTGCCACACTGGGGGCTTGGGGCAGCACTGTGGCTGCAGAAAGGTCTTCCTTTGCTGTCTTGGCCATCGTGGCTTCATGCCCAATGCTCCTGCAGCCACTGCCCTCTGAGGACACTGCGATGTTCCCCCCACCATCCTGCTCAGCCCCCCTACTGAGGAAGTATCTGGCATAGACGCGGCAGCCACGCAGGTCACGCAGAGTGCTGCCCTGGCACCGCTTCTCCAAGACCTGCAGCACCTTCTGGGCCAGTTCCGCAGGTACCAACAGCTGCATCAGGGCTTCTTCATCCACCTCCAACAGCCAGACCAATGGGGCCAAGTTAATCTTGGACTCGCCACAGCCCTCATGCCCCTTGTGACAGCCAGTGGCAGAACTGATGGAAAGGCTTCACCATTGGAGGTCCCTGGGGCCATTTCCCAGTGCCACCCTGGCTGTCCCCAACCCAACTGCCACCAGCCCAGACCTCCCACCTGCACTCACCACCCAACTGCAACTGGCAGAATGACCCCATGGCCTTGCCTCACCTACCCAAACCTCACTGGACAGTCACTCTTCCAGTCATGGGAGACTGTGTTTCCTCTCATCTCCCCTCATAGCTTTGCTGGGACAAGCTCCCCATGGTTTTGCCATCCCTACTCACCCTCCCATTTCTGTCCCATTTCTGCCCCATTCAGGCTGTCCCTGCATAGCTCATGTTTGCCATCTCCACTGGTCCTGGTCCTTTCCCTAATGCTCTCCCTCGCTCTCTCCCTCCTGTTTCCCCACTGCAGGCACTGGCCCATACCTGCTCTCCCTGGTCATGCTGGATGAGAAAGGTGATCTCTTTCTGCTCCTGTGCTTCCAGCTTCTTCACAAAGAAGAGCAGCTCCCACCACTCGGCACGGCTCAGGGCCTCTGCAGCCTTGGTCGGCGGCTGCCCCAGGTAAGGCAGGGAGTACAGACCTCCCAAGGGCTTGCACAAAAATGGCTGTGCAACTGCAGGAGAGCAGAGCAAGGAAGGGCACTGTCAGCTCTGCCAATTCCCCCATCCTTTGCTGCACACACCACATTTCAATTCAATTTCTATGTGGGATATGATGACTGGAAAGAGGTATACACAGAAGTGAAACAGAGCTCATGCTTCTCCCAAAATCAGAAAGACTGAGAAAAGGCTTAGTCTAACCAAGTTCATTTTAACACTTTGAACTGACATGAAGTCTCATCTCTATTTACAAGAGCTAGAAGCCATTAAAGAAGCCATCTTTTCAACTGGCAATACGAATATTTTGAAAGCGAGTAATTAGCTGCTGATCTCATCTACATTCTCTCTCTTGCAACAGTTAAATCCAAACCACTCTACACAAAAGATGTCCAAGAAGATAACAGCTATGATAAAAGAGTTACTTTAACGGGTTTCCCTGGCCAGGGTCATGTCAGACCTGAACAAGAAAGGGATATCTAAAGTCTTGATTCCCCTTTTATGTTCTCCCAGTACAAGGCTAAAGGATTCTAGTAGATGCTGCAGATGTCTTATGAAAACAGTGCTTTAATACTCACCTTGTCCAAAGCTTAATGGTATGAAATTAAACAAATTGTTGCTATGTTAATGCTTTTAAAAATCCTCATCGCTTATTTAAGGGGATCTGAGTTTCCCTAAAGCAGCTTCCTCTCAGAGAAATTCTACATTTGAGTTTTGGCAATTTGTTCAGTTAATTCAAACACACAGTTTTGAACGTTGTAGTTTAAATTAAATTTTATGGGGTTTATACCATTACTTTTATTATATCTTGAGAGAAGTCTAGGGTTCAAAAATACTCCATGCAACCACAAGCCGTGTAATGACTTAAATAGCTCTACATGGTCATACAAACTAATATTGCTTTCTAAACTCAACCTGCTACTTGCTATGTGCTTGGCCATATAAAGATCACCACTCAAAAACATCCCACAGCAGAAAGAAAGAGATGATATACACACACAGCACATAATCTCACCTGTGTCTAGATTAAAGCTCTTTATTGGACTATATTCCTTTTCCTGAGCAGCAGGATCTTCCCACCAGTCTCCAAAGCCAATAATCTCCAATATTTCCCAACGCATCCAGTAGATTCGACCTGTTGACCGCCATAAAACCTGTGGGTGAAACAGATCTAAGTGATCAGATCTCTTCACTCATTCAATCCTCATGCTACATTTGTGCTCCCCAATGCATGGAGACAGCAAGCACTGTTCAAGTAGAAGACTACACAATTCACATACAGATTTCAGCACACACATTGTCTAGTTTAGAGGCATACCATCTTTACTAGCTTGTTGCCCTGGTTACACCTAGATCTTTATTTTTAAAAAAACACCAATTTTGCCTACAACCTACACACTACAGATCTCATTTAGCACAGCAGCAGTGACATGAGTGCATCCAGTTAATCATGCCTGGTCCAAAAGTGCCAAGCAGCCTTGGGAAAAGCATATAAAGGAAGAACATAACCAACATCACCTTGAGGCAGATGAGCTGTATATAAGGTGTCTCAAGGCACTTTTATACCTTGGTCATTCACCAACCCTCTCATCTCAAACAGGTGTTGGGCTCTTGACAAGCATGTCTGAAATACAGCACTTGTTTCCTCTGCTTTGTTCAAGTTGCCCTTCAAAAATCAGAAGGATTTTTTTATGGCTTCCCACACCATACTTTTACATTTGCCCTTCTGAGCAGATGGAGAACTCAGTAACAGCAAGTATAACATGTGAGTAGCTTTAAAAACCAGCAGAAAAACATATGGTTTGCCTGTTCCACTGAGCTCTTTTGGAGTTACACCAGTGCTACTACAAGCCCATTGTGCTGGAAAGCTAAAGAGATAAGATGCTGAAAGACTTTAGGAAAGTATTATATGGAAAGAAGTTGAGTTAAACTACACACAACACCAAATAGTCTTCAATGATTCCCTGACCTAAACTAGTTATGTACCAAATTCGATCTCAAAGGAGTCATGGCAAGATATGGTTGCAGGACCAGACAACAGTGAAACTCTTTCTTTGGAAGGCAAAGAAAGCAATAGAAAACAAAGAAACAAAGGAAAGATGTGAAGAGGTAAGAGACAGACTCATGATGGACTGGTCCCAGTTGCCATTCAGATCTGGTTTTGTCAGTAGTGTGAGCCTTACAGATAACGTACTGAAAATAAGTCTGGATGGAGCAACTGCGAATTCATTCAACCTAATTAAACAGAAAAATAGACAGGAGAGGGAACCCAAGGGACCAACGGGACAAAGGGAATTAAAGTTAACAGTACACTTCAGCTCAACATTGAATTAAAAACCCTTTGAAATTTATGTCATAGGCAATAGGAGAAAAATGTGAAAGCAGCTTGGTGCTCTTTCCATGTGCCCAGTTACATTAAGAGTAAAAGCAAGTAAATGCTTATAAGAAATAGAAACCACAATTTTAGGAAAACACAGAAATCAAGAAGCATAAGGACAAAGAGAGAATCAGTAGGAAATACATTACCTTTGCAATTTATCTTTATGGACTGGATTATAATAGAAGAGATTTATAAACCACTGAAAAGTAAGATGCAAAGCAGTTATTCACTTGAGGGGGCCCAAAATGAAACATCGCCTATTCACGGTCCAAAACTAGAAAAATCTTTCACCAAGGCACATGGAAGATAGGGAGGTGATTCAAGACAACGAGTAAGGCTTTACCAAGGACAAGTTTTGCCTGGCCAACCTGGTGGCTGTCTATGAGGGAGTGACTCCATCAGTAGACAAGGGAAGAGCTACCACTGTCACCTCTCCAGACTTGTGTAAGGCCTTTGACATGGATCCCACAACATCCTTTTCTTTAAATTGAAGAGATATGGATTCAATAGACAATGAAGAATTCATTAAATGGTCATATCCACAGGTCAACAGCTCCATGTCCAGATGGAGATCAATAACAAGTGGTGTCCCTCAGTGGTCTGTATTGGGACCAATACTGTTCAATATCTTTATCAATGACAGTGGGATCAATTGCACTGTCAAAAAGTTTTTTGACAACACCAAGCTGAGCAGTGCAGTTGACAGGCCTGAGGGAAGGGATGGCATCCAGAGGGACCTGGATGAATTCGAGAAGTCAGCCCAGAGGAACCTCATGAGGTTCAACAGGGCCAAGTGCAAGGGCCTGCACCTGAGTTGGGACAAACCCTGGTACCAATCCAGGCTGGAGGACGAAGGGATTGAAAGCAGCCCTATGAAGGACTTAGCAGAATGGTGGATGAAAAGCTGGACACAACCCAGCAATGTGCACTCACAGCCCAGAAAGCCGACGACACCCTGGGCTGCATCAAATGCAGCATGTCCAGCAGGTCGAGGGAGGCGACTCTGCCTCTCTACTCTCCTCTGATGAGACCCTACCTGGAGCACTGCATCAAGCTCTGGAGTCCTCAGTACAAGGGATGGACCTGTTGGAGCAGGTCCAGAGGAGGATCATGAAAACAATAAGAGGGATGGAACACCTCTCCTATGAGGAAACACTGAGAGAGCTGGGGTTGTTCATCCTGGAGAAGAGAAGGCTCAAGGGAAACCTTATAGTGGCCTTTCAATACTTAAAGGGGGCGTGTAAGAAAGTTGAGGAGAGACTTTTCAGTAATGCCTGTTGCAATAGGACAAGGCATAATGGTTTTAAACTGAAAGAGGGGTGATTTAGATTGGACATAGAGTTGTTCTTTACAATGAGGGTCATGAAACACCAGAACAGGTTGCTCAGAAAAGATGTAGATGCCCCATCCCTGGAAACGTTTGAGGTCAAGTTGGATGGGACTCTCAGCAGTCTGGTCTAGATGAAGATGTCCTGGCTTATTGCAGGGGGCTGGACTAGATGGCCTATAAAGGTTCCTTTCAACCCAAACTGCTCTATGATTCCTCCCCCTCTTAAAATATTGAAGCCTTTTCCTGACCTCTGGCACAAACTTAGCAAATACGCAGCTCTTTTCAATAGAAACTCTCAGCTGAGGTCTACTCACCTAAAGGGCATTTTTAAAGGGAAACAGATCCCAACACATACTCACAGATCAAAAGCAACAACTATGTAGGCTGTGTTCAACCCACTGAGAACAACAATGTGCCATAAACACTGTAATTCACATACTAAGGTTTAAATTCTTTACGTACTTTTTGCTGTGCTACTCATTTGTGTCAGCTAGCCTGTTCCTAAATCACCCTCAAGATCAAACCAGCACTAGGGACTGCTCCCAGGACACAGGATATAGCCACCTGTTTCAGAGACCAAGAAATCTTAGCAGCACAACCTATACTAAGCCAGACTAGCTTTCCTCACAACCCACACCTCCAGCTCTGAAAAGTGCGTTTTTTGCTAGGACAGATGTAGACAGTGATACGTATTATGATACATCTATTGTTCAACTTCCTGCACATAAAGACATCATTAGAAATCATCAGTCCCTGTGGTCACTCCCCTCTGCCACCCCAGCCAGAATATGTTCGCCCATGACATACCTGTACTGTGTGCATGCTGTTAGTGCTCTGAAGAAACTCGCCTTCCTCCCCAGCTCTAACGTCACCACAGTCCTCCAGCAAGCGCACCCTCATGCCATGCACCAGGTTTGCCTGTAAGTACTCCACATAGTCACTGCTGTCTGCGAAGTCTGACAGAGTCAAGAAGGTACGGCCCTGCTTTTTGTGGGGACCATGGTTTGAACTGAGTACAGGCATTTGGACAGCAGTGCTGGCTGGAGTCTTGTGCTGGAAGATGGAGCGGGTGGTGCGAGGCCGGAACTCCTGTCGGGGCGACAGCTCTGGCTTGTGGTTGTGGTTCCAGCCCATCGCGTGCACCAGCTCCGAGATGAGGTTTGCCATGGCCATGCTGAACTCAAACTCCTGCTTCACACGGCTCCTCTCCTCAGGGAGCAGGCTGGGTACAGCGCACCCCTGCTGCTCCTCTCCCTGCTCCACAGCACTGCTCAGCTTGTCCAGGAGAGAAGTGACACACAGGTAGCGCTTCACCAGGACAAACAGCAGCTTCCCAGGGATCTGCAACAAGCACAGCTCTCAGACTCAGCCTGCAGAGCACCTCCAGCTCCCAGCTCTCTCCAAGCCACCAGCTCATCCACAGCCAGGATCCCAGGAGAGCTCTGGACCAGCTGGCAGCAGCAGAGACCTCTCAGCCCACCCTTGTCTCCCTGCTCACAGAAAGGCTTCCATGTACCCCTCCTCCACTGCCAGCCTCATGCCAGGCCCAGATCCTGTGCCAGCTCTCCCAATAGCAGTCCTGCTCAGCTGCCCAACTCCAACTACCTTCTTGTCCCAAACAAGGACACTGCCCTGGCCCTCCACTCCCACCCCTCCTGGCCCCTAAAGCCCCACAGGCCCAGGGCTGGCAGGGCCTGCCACTACCTGTGGAAGGTGAATCCCCTCAAAGGACATGCACTGCTCTTCAGAGGATGTTATCTCAGCAAACAGCTCCAGCAAGGTGCAGCGACTGTCAAAGTCCATGTGCTGCTCAATGCCATCCTGCTGGCTCAGGGACAGCAGGACATAGGCCCGGCTCTCTGCAACAGCAACAAAAACTCTTCAGGCCCCATAAAGACAAGCCGCACCCCACCCTCCCTGCGAGAGACAGATCCACAGGCAAGGAACAGCTTTGCTGCTCCCTGTCACCTGAACCATGTTCTGTCCTTCCATCTGGAGTGGCAACATTTTGCTCCACAATGTATCTTTTCTACCCCTAAAGCTGCAAGATTCACCCAAAGCAGCAACCCAAATAACTGACTACAGATCAGGGTCCCAGGGAAGAAAAGAAGTTTTAACCTCAATCAGCCCCTCATCTGCCCCACTTCAGAGCTGCATGAACTCAGACACTAGGACAGGGAAAGCCAGATCTCTTGTGGGATACACCACAACCAGCAACCTTCCAGGTGCACCCAAGCCTCATCAGGCACTTCCAAGTCGTGGCAGCTCCTCTTAAATGAGAGAACTGGGTGAGGATCAGCCTCTATCCTCCAGGCCAAGCCCTTTGGTACCAGTCTTCATTGCAAGGGTATGCGGAAGGAGACTGTCTGTTCCTCTAAGTGTACCTAGTCAAGGACCTTTTCACCGCAAAAAGTGAAAGAAGGAAGCCATAAATGATAACATAAAGAATCACAAACGTGACCGACAAATGCTAATGGAGGCAGTGAGGAGAAACAAATCTGGTCAGTCACAATAATTAGTAAGGACATCTGGACTTTAAGAATGATTATTTTTCAGTAAGATTATCTGAGTAATTGGAATTGGCAAGGAACACAAAAGAAGATGCACAGAAAGGAATATAAAAGGCACCGGTTGTGTCTAAAGCATGGCTAGCCAATGCACTTGTTTGACAGCCCTGTACTTCATTGGCACAGTTTGTCCTACTGTTTTACATCCTCTTATTAAATCTTTTCTAACTCTCTCTGCCCCGTGTGTGTGTGTACTGCAAGCACTCTGTGCCAGCTACTGGTGAGACCTGTGCAAATTGCATTTGGTACTAGGAACTGGAGCCTAACTGGGGGGTGGGAGCCCTGTGGAGTCAGCAAGTGGAGAGACTGACAGTTGGAAATGCCACTGCCCTCTGGATCTGGGGAGGGTCTCACGGATTTGAGCCTGGAGCCAGCTACTGGGAAGACTGGCGTACAGTGGACTCAGTACAAGCTACTCAAGTCTGATCAGGGTGTAGGTGTCCCTGGTCTGAGGTGCCAGCTACTGGGGCAAGTGCAAGGGTCTCAGTGTTAGTGACTGGAGCAGGGAGGGTCCTCGGCCATCAGCCACTGGGGACCGAACAGTGTGTGTCCCAAAATACAGCTACTGGAAGGGAGGCAAGCTACTGGAAGGTCAGCACCAGCAGCTGAAGCAGGACTGCAGTGCCTGGTGCCAGCGGGAAAGGGCGAGTATCTCTATCTTCCCCAATCCTGCTGGGCACGGAGCGTGCATTTAATTTGTTAGCAAAACTTCACGCTGGATTAGCTGGAAAGTAGCAGGTCCTGGGTCCAGACCAAGGTATGAGGCAGGTGGTGGTCTGTGCTGGAAGTCCCAAGGGACTTGTGAAATGTGGACTGTGGGAGGAACAAGTGTCTGAGTGCTATATGTTTGTCAGCAAGCATCGAGCTTGACAAATGGATGAGCAGGGGGACTCCTGAGGCTGGTAGGCGGGCTTGGATCCAGGCACAGGTGCAAGACAGACAGAGGGGCCATGCTGGAACCCAAGGGATCCATGAATGTATGTGTAATTGTGAACCTGGAAAGTGCAGTGTGTGCTGGCAGGAGCGACCTTCTGTCTCGGCTGGACAAAGAGCAGGAGGGGACACAGCTGTCTGTGCTTGTGTTTATGTGAGTCTCGTAAGTACGTGCTGTTGAAGACGGCACCACACCACTGTCCGTGCCCAGCCTTGTCAGTGTCCTGCATGTGTCTGTGCTCTGGGATAGCTTTGCTACTGGTTGAACCTGCAAACGGGAAAGTGGCAGCTGCACCCCTTGGGCTGAGGAACCCCAGACTCCTCAGGCTAGGCTCTAGCGGCAGAGCAGGACAGGTGCTGGGACTGCTGGAGGAGACAGCCACCCCTAATATTCTTTAACACTCCTAACAATTAATTAGCATCCCAGCTCAGAAACCTGTCAGGGGTTTTTAACTCTTACAGCACTCCAGACAACTACAACTGAGGAAGTTTGGAAGATCCAGACTGATTCTTCCCTGTTTGCCAACAAGCCCCAAGGCGTGCTGCTTCCCAGGCATCTCACCCCCACAAAAGGACTGTCACCCCTCAGCTGCCCAGCAGCAGCTCCACAGAGGCACTGAGCAGCAACAGCCCCCACCTGCATCCTGCGAAGCCAGGGTCCGCAGCATCTTGCCGGCACCGTGGCGGATCTGCTTCTCCCGGTGGCACAGCATCTTCATCAGCACGTCCAGGGCTCCCGTCTCCCTGAAGGCACCCGCCAGAGAGCCAATGCCGGCGTAGGCGCTCAGCACGTGCACAGTGTTCAGGATGGAGCACTTGGGCGTCCCGGCCTCGGCCACCTGCCGCATGGCTCGCTGCACCAGGCTCCTGACATCAGCCTTCATCTCCAGCAGCGAGGCTTCGTCCAGCGAGACATCTGCAGCCAACGGACTCGGTGCCTTCTCCTCCTTCACCCACAGCCCTTCCAGCTTCCTCTTGCCCAGCAGTGCTGGGCAGCTGGCACAGACCTCTTCTGCAGACATCCACATCGAGATGTTCTCTGGCTTGGTCTCTGCACAGGAGGCACTGCTGCCTCCCGCTGCTCTCTCTTCCAAGCTAATCACACTCCACTGGATCAGGTATTCAGTCCGGCCGTTGCGGCCTCGACGCTGCCGGAGCAGCTTCTCTGGATAGGCCTGCAGTTTGGGTCCCAGCTGCACAAGCAGGTTGCCATTGTGCTTCTCATTCACCATGGCAGCAGATGTGCCTGCAGAGACAGAAGGGAACCAGAATCAAGCCTTTATTTCTGAGCTGCATCCTAGGGAAAATGTGAGAGCACCTCAGCTGCCTGACAGTAGAAGTGGTTGAGGTACAGCTTTTGATCCTGAGACCCTACACCCAGGATAAAGCTCTGAAGGAAAACCTATTTTGCAAAGGTTCACATTCACCTTCCAAGAAAATAAGACAGCATTTCATATACAAAACCTGTTCCCACCATCACAGGCACACACAGACAGAGGTTCTCCTCAAAAAAAACCCAAACAAGGCAAAATGGTCCCTCTTATAAGACAGCAAATAATGACAGGAGACTTGGATCCTGTTCTCATTTCTGCCATTGTCTGCAAAATGACCCTCCCAAGTTGCTGTTTTTGCACTTCTATCTTTTCTCTTGTTAATTACCATTTATTTGTTTAGACTGCAAGTTTACCCAAAGCTAAAGACACTCTCACTGTGGAGAGGGACCTTCACCAGGCCCTGAATAATGAGCAATTTCTTAGATCTACTTCATATACATCAAATCAGGTCAAAGTCACTCAGTATTTCCTCCTTGACCTCTTCTCAGAATTCTTTGCCTTTACAATGTTTCATTAATGGACAAACTCAACAAACCCAAAAGATTGCTACTCTCTGACTGTTCTGCATATTTTAGGACTACAAAGAAGGCGTGGTGCTTCTCTGCTTGGATCTGTGCAAAGAGGAGTGTGGAAATAATTTGCTGTCCAAGGCTGAGGGACAGCAATCAGCTGGCCAGCTGCAAACACCATGGACTGGCTTTGGATTGACTTCACTACTACAGAGGATTCCAGATTAGTCTGATAGGAAGGTTCTCAGAGGAGCTCAGGTAGGTGGCAGTGGGAAACACAAGAACAGGCTCTCCTGTCACACATGCCAGTAAGAGAAGCAGCGAAGCAAGATCCTGTCCACTGGTGGTAACACAAGTCATTCTCAAAAAAGGAGTTAAGACACAACAGAAACAGTCAATCCAGGTATAACCAAAGAAGACACTAACCATCAAAGACTATGACAGGCACATTCAAAATGTTTTCCAGGTGCTGAGAGAAGCAGTCTGCCAAGAAATTCATACCTACCTTCAGTTGTGCCTTCCTTGGAATTTGCAGCAAGCCAGATGGGAATCTTCTTGGAGTCTCTGTAATAAAAGGACCAAGTTATTGTCCTGTACTTTGTAACAGTGTTTAGATGCCACACAATAAGCCAAATAATCATTTTCCTTAAATGAGCTTGGATGGTGCATACGCACAGAAAAAAACCCATCCTACAAGGTTCACATAAAATGAAAATCAGAGTAAAATGGAAGTCTCTGTGAAGTTTGGTAACTTCACCCCATTCCCACATCATGCTATTTAGCATGAAAAAACCTCTTTCTAGCGGAGCCCAGAAGGGGCCCAAATGGCCTTCTAGCTAGGAAGGGGAGAATTTGGGCTTAGGGCACCTGAAGTATTGCTGCACCACGTGTGAATGACGTGCACTGGAGGCCACAGTGCCCAGAACTGAACTGTCAGACCGCTGTGACACAGGCTCTGCACTCTGTGTCAGAGCTGTGATGCCGAGTCCACCAGGCATCACAGCACGGCGTCCAGCAGCCCAGCTCAGCACAGCCCGACCTCCCACCGCGTCGGGACGGTGGGTCCGCACAGGCGCGGGCAGGGCCCCTCGCACCGATGTGCCTCGGCCGCTCCGGACACCCCAGCGAGCCGCGCCCCACCGTCCGGACCCCTCGCTCACCGCTGCGCCGCCGCCCCCGGAGCCACAGAGAGGCCGGGCAGGGCACGGCAGAGCCCGGCCTCGGTGCACGGGGGGCCGACCGACTCTCGGCGCGGGGAAAAGGAAGGGGCCCCTCAGGCGCTTGCCCCGTCAGGAGGTCTCGTCCCCGCTCGGCGCCGGCTCGGCTCTCCCCGCGCACTCGGGGCGAAGGCGCGGCAGAAACTCGAAGGCTCCGCCGCGGGAGCTGCCCCGGCGCCACCAGGAGGGACCGGAAGCAGCAGCACCACCCGCCGCGCTTCCGGGTCCACACTACGGGAGGCGGCGAGGGACAAGGAACGGCGGAGGCTGCGTGGTACGCGCCTCTCGTCCCTCGGAATCTCAGAACGGATCAGGCTGGAAGGGACCACAGCGGGTCATCTGGTCCAGCCTCCCTGTTCAAGCAGGATCATCCTACAGCACCTGGCTCAGGATTGTGTCCAGACAGTTCTTGGAGACTCCACAACCTCTCTGGAAAATCTGTTCTAGTGCACGGTCACTGCACAGTAAGGAAGTTCTTCCTCGTGTTCAGGTGGAACTTCCTGTGCATCAGTTTCTCTCTGTTGCCTGTTGTCCTATTGCTCGCCACCACCGAGCAAAGCCTGCCTCCATCCTTTTGGCATCCTCCCTTCAGATACTGATAGACATTGATGAGGTCCCCTCTCAGTCGTCTCTTCTCAAGGCCGAACAGGCCCAGCTCCCTCAGCCTGTCCTCGTAAGGCAGATGCTCCAGTCCCCTAATCCTCTGTGTTGCTCTCTGCTGGACCCACTCCAGGATCAATGTGTCTCTTGTCCTGAGGAGGCCAGAACTGGACACAGCTCTCCAGGTGATCCTCACCAGGGCTGGGTAGAGGGGCAGGATCACCTCTCGATGTGCTGGCAATGCTTTTCCTAATGCACCTCAGGATACCACTGCCCTTCCTGGCCACAAGGGCACTGCTGCCTCCCCTTCCCAGGTCCCTCTGGGGCGAGGGGATGCAAGCTGCAGCTGCAGCTGGAGCTGAAGTGCAGGGGCCTGTCTGTGGCCACACAGCCATGGGTCACAGGGCTGCTGTCCCTCCCTGCCGGTGGTGAGAGGCAGAAAAACATGGAAGATCAGATTATGTTCTGATTCTCCTAGCTAATATTAGAAATGAGAAGAAACGGAGATGGGAGCTGAAAACTGCACCCGCCAGAGCTCAAGAAGCTTTTTGATAACATGTGTTGCACTTTGCGTTGGTACAATTTCTCTGGTGATTAATTGTCTTCATCAAGGGCTGTAGCAGAATGGGTGGTAGGTAGGCTAAAAGCATGTCATGTCAGCACTAACATTATTATTGCAATAATAATGTAATAATAACCATTAATCAAAAATTACAGCAACATCAGGCCTGTGGCCCTGGGATGGTTCCAGCCCTGCATCCAGCCTGTTCGGCTTCAGTGATAGCTGTGCTGGCTCTTTGCAGGTTTAGGCCCCTGAGACTGTCCTGTTCTCAGTGTTGCTAGAGAGACAATTGAAGCCTGTTGCACACAAGTTTGTCCTGTTTCCAGTTCCTTTACACCTTTGGTGTAACACTGTAAAATCTAAATTCTTATCCTTTATCCATATTTCCCTTCCTTGGTAGGCCTCACAGCAGTCATCAGACTGATAGAAACCTGGATTGTGGCTAACATTTGTTTTAAATTATAAACAAACATTAAAATCAGCTAAATAGATGAGACTCTACTTTCTTATTTGATGCTGGAGCAACTTCATGTATGTGCCCAAATTAATTTCTACCCCCAGAACTAATGCAACTGATCAGACAATTTCTATGTTTTACAATAGCAATCAGCAATTAATCCCAACAATATAATGGCAATTAACTATAGGCTGGATAAAGCAGTGCAGTACTGCATCAGTTTGTGAGACCATCCTCTAAAGCTGTGGCACCAGTGGTGGACTGTAAATGTTCATGTTTCCAAGCCAGGCTCTTGATTTTCACCATTAGTGCATGTAATCTCTGCTGATGTTATTGATGCTCTCTTTCCGGAATCCCATGGATGCTCTTGAAATCTCCATGTTCTCAATTAACATGTCATTTTCCTTCCCCATTCACTACCAAGACATCTTGTTTGTGACACTGAGAGGTTTTCTGTGGTATTCACACGGCCTGCTTATGTCTTGGCTCCAATAGTCTTGATTCTATGCTTAGTAGGTCATTTATCCTAAAAATAAAGATTACGTCTGTGTTATCTTGCTTCATATGTCACAGACAGCCCCCTGTGCACAAGTGACATGGGATTGCTTGTGCTGATAGGAGGTTTGTGGTGCTGAACCACGAGACACACCTGTGTAGGCATGCTGCACATGGGGCTAGCTGTGGTGTAACCTGTAAAAGTGAAGCACCTCACTTCCTAATGGGGCAAGAGCCATTTGAGCTGTGTTTTGCTCCTAAGCACTTTCTGTGCAACCTTCTCTCCTGCTGCACTATTTTCTCCAAACAGCACTGTGAGGAAAAGTGCTGTGTCTCCACTGCACAGACTTTTATCAGTGCTAAGCTTTCCTTGCACCATACTGGTATCTGCTCCAGGATCTGATGCTAGATAGCACCATTTTTAGCTGGCATACTGTTGCCCCAGCAGCCCTGAGGATTGTAATGAGCCCCTTTCCTTTTGGTTTCATTCACAGCTTTACACACTTTACTGAGCCCCCATGTGCCCTTGACCTGGCTTCTAGGCACCTGCCTTTGACCTGACTTCATGCCTCTCCAGTTTGGATTTTGAATATTGCCGTATCTTCTCATAGCAGTTTTCTGCAGGGAATTTAACAGTCCCCCTGCTCCTCCCTATTAACATCCATGATTTAGAACAATTCTTTTTCAAAATTCCCCATTCCTCCTCATTCCTGGTTTTTACTTCTCTTGACTGACACCATGCCCTGCTTACCACCAACACTGTTCCAGAGCTTTCAGAAAGGACAGCCCTCACAGCCTTGCTGTCAGCCAAAGGCCCCCTCTGGTCCTGCACTAGGTCTGGGACTTCCAGAGTCTCACCTGTGCAGGAGGCAGTAGGGATGGAGAGTTTTGCAAAGAACCCCTCTTTGCCACATCAGGCTCAGACAGACCCTCATCCTTGACAGTAAACAGACCGATGCAGGAATCTGCCTTTGATCCCCATGCATTGCCCCTAAGGTACGTGTCATCCCCTCCCGCAAAGAATGATCGAGATCCCAAATCTGTGCACAAAATGATAACATTTATTGAAAGAGTAATTTTTTTTTAATACAAAAGAAAGCTCTGTACATAGTACTGTGATTACTTCCACATCCTTCCAGAAACACAACCCTGGAAACTGGAGGGAAAAAAAAATAATCCCAAACACACTTATGCGTACACACACACGCACACACACGCACGCGCGCACACACACCCCCCTCAAGCCAGTAAAATTAACTAAAAATGTCACCACACAATAAATGCCATTTCATCCCTGATACACAAGTGTTCTTACAAGTCTGCACTTAAATAAAATACACCATTAGCGTTTAACCAGCAGTTGCCTTTGGGGAGCCAGGGAGGGGATACAGTCAGACACCCTGTAGCAGCAGGGGCTCTCCCACCATTCTGGCCCAACAGCTCTGCTCCATAGTGCTAGCACAAGCAAAGCAGAGCAAAGCCAGGCCACACTGACGTGCTGGGGCAAAGGACAACGCAAACCCCAAACCCACACTTCTCCCTGGATGAACTCCTAGGTACCCAGATTGCTTCGGAAGCATTACTGAGCAGTTTTCATACACCTAGCAAAGGGACATGGCTTAGCACTCCCATATGCTCTGAGCTGCAGTGTATGCATCACTCTTAGAGCAAGGACACTAAGGGGAGGCAGCATGCAATGTCACTCTCACCAACTCTCCACAAGCCCTTCCCAGGCTGTTAACAGATCAAGGGCTGAAAGACCCTTCTGGGAATTCTTTGTACAGGGAGTTTGGAGGGAACCTGCCCATATCTGTGCACTGCAGAAAGGCTGTAGAGGGGGATCTACAGCCCAGATCTTCAGCTAGGGGTTCAGAAGATGCTACCTGCACAGCAAGCATGGAGAACAGGGATTAGCCACTGCTGGTCACTCACCACACCCAGGGAAGAGTGGGGATGCCTAAATCCCTTAGACAGTCACAGGCAGCACTACTGCACACCAAGAGCAGTGACAGAACAGCTGCAGGTCCCTGGACCAGAAGTGAACAGGGTGATCATCAGAAAACCCAGCTCAGCTCTGGCTCCCATGCACGCTACAAATCCCCTGCTCCTGAGGAATGGGTTTCCCACTTCTAGAAACTAGCCACTGCTGCACTTGCTTTCTGCCCATTGAGCCCAGAATTATGAGTCCTCAGTATAGATAAGTGGGAAACAAGCATCCCACTCAGTTGAGCTTGATCCCTGGCACATGCTGGTGGATGAAGAGTGTGGCTTAAACGCTAATGCTGAGGAACATGTCCAAGGTTACAATACAAACTCAAAAGCAAGGCCCCTTTCCTGCCTCCATGCCCACCCACCCACCCCTCTCCCATCCCCCTGGTACAAACCCCATTAAAACTGTACAGGAGCCAAACTTTTATTCCTTAAAGAATTACATAAATACTGAGTTTAACACTTAGAAAAATAAAGTAATTTTCTTTTTTTTTTTTCTCCAAGGCTTCTTTTGTCTTTAACTTAAAAAAAAAAAAGTTACAGTAGCTGCTTCTTCTCCTAAGGATTCAGCAGCTTCTCTCACTTGCTCACTCTCCCTCCAGGGACAGGGCTAGGTAGCGGAGCCATTCACAGCAACTCCCATGCAGGACCAAGCATGCTCCAGCCCTTCTCCCCCCAGCCTTGCTGAGCCTGTACAGGCATCACAGCTGTTCCTCCACAGCTCAGGATGGCCTGCAGATCACCCTGATGCTCAGAGGAAGAGCCTGGCACCTGCCCAGCAGCTCAATGCCCCATGGGCTCTTCCCTTTGACATTTGAGTTGTTTCTCCACCTAGCATCAGACACAGAAATTTAGAACACGCCGGCTGGAGCTGCAGGGGCACGTAAGAAGGATGCAGCCACGTTCCCCTGGGTGTACGGAGTCCACAAGCAGTGCGAGGGCTGAGAGTGTGGGGCTGAGCAGAGCACAGAGCCCCTGAGGAGCTCTCCAGGGCATCATTGTGTTCCTGGACATCTACAGACCACCTCAGCTGTGCAA